ATTGTAATGACAGAAAAACAATAAACGCATAAATCAATGAACGTCTGCACCTTCAGGTACTTCCCCCGCTGAAAGACGTAAAGATCAGGCCAGAGATCGGCACCACCACCAGGAACAAGCTGGTGCGCCTTATGACACATGTGGACATGGGGGTGAAGCAGACGGCTGCAGAGTTTCTCTTTGTCCTCTGCAAAGAAAGCGGTGAGCATGGGAGGAACATAGTGCAACCCCACAGATCAGAAAATATGAAGTGAGAGCAGGAATAACTTTGGTTTAGTTTGAGTTTCTGTTCTTTACACACAGCTCCAACACAAGTACTATCATGAAATCGTGAAATGGGACTCCCTGATAAGAAAATCTGAAGCTTGAGAGTAGGGGCAGAAAGCATTTCAAATACATGTTTATTATCTGTTGTGTAGATTTTCTTAAAGCATGTTTTATACAATAACATTGGGAACCACCTAGGACTAACCAAATATCCTAAAAAGGAACTGACCTTGCTTCTAAATGGTCCCAAACATTTATTCCATCAGTTTTAACATTGGTGTAATAGCTAAGATGCGATGAGACATAGGGCTAGTGGAATTAATGTTAGATTACAAATGGATTACAGAGCAGGGTTTGTAGTTTGGAAGTTAAGTGCAAATAATGGAGTAGTGAACTATCAGATGCATGACTGCTGCGTTGCTCATGCTCGCTCTTGATGTAACTTAACGATCTTGGGTGTTTGTGGTGTTGTCTTGTAGTAGACAACCTGTTGAAGTACACAGGATATGGAAACGCAGCGGGACTCCTGGTGGCTCGAGGACTCCTTGCAGGAGGGAGAGGAGAGACTCAGTACTCCGATGATGAAGACTCAGACACAGAGGAGTACAAATCTGCTAAACCCTTGTGAGTGCTCTGCACAGATCTCAGGGTACAGCTCTCTGAAGCCAACGTGTTTAGTTCATCTGTATGCATTGATTATGTATGAATCTGTTTGCTGTTGTACTTTATTTGTGCTCATCTTCTTGTTCCAGCATCAACCCCATCACCGGTCATGTGGAGGAGCCCATGCCGAACCCCATCGAAGAGATGACGGAGGAGCAGAAGGAGTACGAAGCCCAGAAACTAGTCAATATGTTTGACAAGTTGTCAAGGTAACAATGCTAAAATATAAAAGACTCTAAGAATAACTCTACTACTGTAGAATCCTCGGTTGAGTAATTCAACTGTAAGTGTTTGATTTTTCTGATGTTTGTTTTTTTGATAATGGACAGTAGAGAGGGAACAGGACATGAGGGGAAAATGTAACAAAGGTGTTTCAATAACATGGTCAGTGTCTCAAACCCCTTGGTCAGGAACATTAATAGCATAAAATAGCACAATTAATCAAATGTTCAACGGACGGTAGTCAACAAACAGATATCATTCTAACCAAGAAACAAACAAACTGCCACTGAAATCTTTTCAAAATTTACAAAAAAAATCCTCATTTGTCAAAAGGCTCGACTAAGATCATTAACTTTTTGAGCTGGAGAAACAGTTGCTTCCCTGCTCAAATTATTCATATTATTCATTGTTTCCCCTGCGAAGAGCCCACCTGTATTTGTGTTGACCTTTCCTCAGTGAGCAGAGGCTAACGTCAGACAGGCACAATGGCGTCACAAAGGTAACAGTGCGCCCGCTCCCTGCCAACCGCTTCATCAAAGGAAGAATCTCTTCCTGTGAGCTGCAGCTTTAATTAGGCCCGACTTCCAGCGCGCCGCAGCATTCAGCCGGGGTAAAAGGAAGCTGCCGGCACGCTGCTGCAGCATCATTACCACAGCCCCGTTAATTATCACCTAATTGGTAGACACAGCCGGCTCTTCGGCCCCGGCTCCTTTTATGTGCCGCATTCAGGTTTTCTCAGATAACACATGTGTCCTGACTTCATTCTGAGGAGCCAGTCAGGCAGTGGACTGAGACAGAGGCACAACTAACAACAAAGCCATTTGAGTGGAACGTGCAGGGAGAGACACGAGTGAACAAATGTGCAAACGTAAGAAAGCTGACCTCGTCCTTGTTAAGCCAAAGAGGGGGTTCAGCTGTAATGAGACACGTGCGCCCAGAAGAGGAAGATTCCTCTCCTCTTTCTTCTGCTCCTCCTCAGTGGAGGAGGTGTGATGCTGAGGGAGAGGTGCATCCTCAGTGCAGCTCTAAGGAGATCGCTCAGAGCCCTGGAAGAATGTGCCCCCCTAACTGCTTAACTGGTCCTCCAATTAGCACATATTCTGCACCCCCGTTTACATCTGACAGACCCCCAGTCCTCTGTCACTGCTCGGGAGGAGAGAAGGGGTTATTTCTGCACTAATTGGGAGGGATGATGTCACATGTTTTTGTTTGTTTTGTCTTGTTAGGCTTCATTTTACCTGCCGACAGTAACCAGTGATCTGAGGCTGTGGGCTAGTGGTGCCTCTCTGTAAAAAGAAAATGTCTAGAGAAACCTGCAAAGAAAATACTTAAATATATTCTGATTGAACCACATCATCCACCTCCTATCAAACTACAGAACCTGCTCTTTAACCAGGATAAGTTACATTTAATTGGAGGAATCGGTAGCGATTACATGGCCATTTATTTTGGAATCTCCTTACAACTGAATGCAAATGGATCCTTAATAAATCTGTGGTGGGTAATTCTCTGATAAACCATCTCAGAGGGAGGGGTGACACACAGTGCAGGTATAATTGGATTAGGATGAAGGGGCAGCCGTGGCTTTGAGGAGATTAGTTTGAGCGCTGATCCTGTAATTAAACTGCCAGGAGGGGGGAGGGGGGTTGAGGATGGCCAGACAGGGGCAAGTGGGGTTGTAGGGTGAGGGTCCTTGAGCTCTGGATGTAAGAGAGTAAAGATGCAGGAGTGAAAGCCCCCTTTAAACTGCCCGGGGATACAGACAGTCCTGAATAGAGTAGGGGGTTTTGTTTGTATTAAAGATAAATTCAAACAGCAATATGTTTTTCTTTTTGTGTCAACAGGCAGAATGTGATCCGGCCGATGGGGGTCATGCCTGACGGGACGTTAGCACCACTTGAAGAAACTCTCTGCGACCCCCCCGAAGACTCAGGATCGGACTCTGACTAAGCACGCCACTTTCAGGCCCCATGTTCAGGCCCTCAACACATCCCAGAGCTGTGTCCCATGTCAGTGTCAGGAGGGTTCTCAGAAATCCAAACAAATGCTGAAATTTAGGATCTGCTTTTTTAACTTGGATGACCAGAAAGTCACCCTAATTTGACAGATTTGTGAATTAACATTAGGACGTTTAAGTGTATCAAATGTTTCAGAATGGCAGATAGTGAATCAGGTTAACGATAAATGTGTTTAAGCGATAAGCGATGTAATATATGTTGGGCAACATGGTGTATTTAATATTAAAATGTGACGTCCGGTGATCCGGTCCTGAACTGGGACACAGCTCACCATGTCCCAGGAAACAGTGGAGGCCCTGTCGCAGCACTGAGACCTCCTCCAGAGAGGAAGTGGACTTGATGTGCATCAGAGACTTTGCAGTGGCATCAAAATGCAAAGGAGACCACCATGGTTACTGTTGCACCTTCCTCATTTATTGTAGCACTCCTTAAGTTTAAAAAAGATAGAGGTAATAATATAATTCTTTGCTGGATCATGTGTAGGTCACTGAAAGCACGTTGTCATAGTTGAAGTGTCACTGGGTCTGAATAATCATTCCTTCACATGTGCTTTTGTTTTTTTTAACATTTCTCTTCTTTCTGCTACATGATGATTTTGTTAACTCTGTTTCTAGATGACTCAAGCGCACATAATAGAAACTACTTTAAATATGATATCAACAAAAACTGTAAACAAAGACCCTTGTTGTTGGTTTAAAATCATGGGGTATGTCCGTTAGAGACAACTAGATTGGTGAATATTTAGAGATCAGGCAGTGTGGATAGGTTTCGCTTGCAGCTCACACTGAGTCTGTGTTCGGTTGTGTAATTATTACGAGTGTTGCACACCAGTTAGTCGCCAAGGAAACCTTCTGAATTCAGGTCTTGTTGGTTTACTGTTGTGTCACTGAAATACCTTCTTTTTTTTTTTAATGTATAAATTGTGGAGAGACGCAACCTTTTCCTGTTTTGGAAGATTGTGAAGAGATTGTTTCTGCCTGCTGTGGACTCTCGACAGAGAATTGTGTAAACGGCAATGATTGTTTTCTAATTCATTTTACTTTTGCCAAATCCGCATTATGTTAAATCAGTTGATGTGTTTCTTTTTTTTTTCTAGATTCAACTGTTTGCTAATTTTATACAATTCAACATGTCTGTATAAACTGATGAGACTTATTTTTGTTGGTACAATTTAATTTAATTTATCTGCCACTTTTTAAGCCGAATGCAACAGATGTGCCCCCCAAAGTGAAACCCTGACTTTGGATAACTGACTTTCCTTGTACAAAAACAAATAGCTGATTACAATCCAGAGAAACCGAGTAATGCTTTAACCAGAGAACATGTGTCATTATATGATAAAGGAAACAGACTATTTACTTGTTTTATAATGAATAATCATGAGCACACTTTTCACCTGACCTGAGAATCGTCACTACTGCCTCCTCACACAGAAAATAATAAATGATCTAGTTTGCCTCACAAAAGACTTAACTCCGAGTCACTCTCTCAAACTTCATGTGACTAATTTAATGTTTTTTGTTGCTTAGAAAAGTCATAAAAAGGTCAGACATACACAAATGAAAGTTTCTCTCGTGCTCCTGTGTAAATGCCTTCTCTTTCCTCCATATATCAAAATTGCATGTTGATCCCTTCTCTATCTGGAAAGCTTTTGTTGTTGTATTTTTGCACACTTTATATACTGTAAATAGCAGCACTTATTTTATGTGAGGCTTCCACTGAAAAGTTAATAAACTGGAGAATAAGAACAGTGGTTGTTTTCTCTGACTAATATTACATAAACCTTGTTTTTAAATGACACAAGATGCAAATTAAATGACACAATGCCTTTATTGAATTTTGTTTAAAATACAGTTATATAAAACATTAACAAGATGACTGACATGGGACATATAAAACACCTGAATAAACATTAGAATTGTTGTTACAATACATGTATAGTAGTGTTCTCGATGGACACTCGCTCTATAAGTGCTATAAATATGCTTGTAAATAGCTTGATAAACACGTTTTTTTATTTACATATGAACATACAACTATGACACACTGTGACTCCCAGATAAACAAGTTGCACCTTTAGTCCATTTTAGAAACGAATGAGTCGTGCATATGAACAGGTAACTGGAGAACAGTGTTAGTGTCAGAAGAGGAGGAACAGTTTGAAACCTTTCCAGAGCCTATTGTTTAGGAAACGTCAGAGTCAGGTGCTCTGGCTGGAGGACGCAGAGCTCTTGCTGTCCGTCTCGGAGTCCGTCTCCTCACTGCCGCTGCTGGCTCCCCTCTGCCCCCCCGCTTTGGACCTGGAGGTCTCCGTCCCAGCCGGAGCTCCTCTGCTCTGACAGGACGTCTGGTCCACTGACAGAGGGCTGCTTATCAGCGTAGGGAGGCTCTGCAGAAGAACATGATTCACATAGTCAGCAAAAGTGTTTTAAAATTGAGCCCAGAGACATTTTAAGAGCAACTTCAAAGATTATAAATCGAGATCTCATTGGGAGTACTAATGTTTATAAAACAAATGGTGAATTAAGGCCATTTCTGATGTCAGTCATTAGCCCATATATGGAAGCTATTAAAAATACTAGTTTTACAATTTAAGAAAAGCTGATATTCAGACAAACATACATTTTAATAGAAGAAGCAACTAAATAAGCTATTGAAATTAACTGAAATAATCTTCTATAATAATACTTTTATGACAAATCATAACATTTAATTATCATATTTTTATTGCATAATTGTTTCACTTAAACCAGCACAGAGGAATCGTTAATAACATTAGTTGTGTGTCATTTCAACGTAATTTATTGATTGTCCCTAGGTGAAACCCTGTGGCTTTGGAGCAAGGGCAGTTGGTGGTTAAGTTGCATTATGGGTAATGTAGGCAAGTAAAACTAATGATCGAAAGTAAAACTAATGATCGAAACCAAAATATGACATCTAAGGCTCTGCAAATATCCATTGTTAGTCTGAATCTTATAGAAGTGCAATGTCAGCAGCACCATGGAGTATTCTTAGGTATCTACCTTTTTTCTTTTGTTTATACGTATATATCACCAGTGCTTTGCGTTTCCCTTTGAATATCGCAAAAGTATGTTTAAGTCTCAAGACTTACACCTTGCATAATAATCTTTAATAAATTGATTTGTATGGCGTTGTGTTTTAAAAATGGAACCCACCAGTGTTTCCTGACTCCTCATCAGCTCCTCTATGTCATCGTTCCAGCCGAGCATTTCAGCAAACCTCCTCACTGTCTCCTCCAGGTCGCCCAGCTCCATGTGGTCCGTCCTCCGCAGCGGGACCTTCTCGAAGGGTCCCACAGCGTTTCTGTTCAGGAGGAGGCGGGGCACGGTGGAGCGGACTGTGTTCACCAAGCTGGCAAATGGCTCAATCTGAAACAATAGATTTTGGTTCAGATAAAACCGAGCTCAGTGTTCTGCTCACCAATTAGAGGAATGATATTAAAAATGCTTACCTGTAAAGATGTGCCCATAATGATGAGCAGGTCTGCTTTGGGAAAGTCTTGAGTGTTGAGGAAATACTTCTGAGGAAGGTCCTCTCCAAAAAACACAACGTCAGGTTTCACTGTTGCAGCGCAGAAGGTGCATATGGGGACTTTATCATTCATTATGGCCTTCTGCAGAACCAGAGAAGAAAGCATTGAATAGAAGGACTGTTTTACATTTCAATATGGTGTTTTTTTAGGTCACACATACCTTAGCCTCTTCAGCGGGGTATGCAGTGTAGCAGAGGTGACAGGCAGCTGTGGCAAAACTACCGTGAGCTTCCACAAGTTTGTCATCTGGGATGCCACACACTGTAAAGACAGACAAATATTATAACTCAAACCAACTTTGAATCTTTTTTCCATTAGACAAACCAAAAAAGCACAAAGGAAGTCGTGCAGGAAACACAATGTGTAATTTCTAGCACATCAAACTCCATGCAAGAGATAATGTTAAATATTTTTCTGCAATGGTAAAAACAATGCAGTGCAGCGTCACCGCACATGGATGTGCAAGGACCTGTTCATTGCGTCTTTCATTTGTATTTACATTTAAATGTGTATTTTTGTACTCCTTATGAAATGGTTTAAGTTTAAACAGTTTTAAAAAATGCATACAAATAAGATCTCCCTCACATTTCTCCAGTCCGTCGATGTTCTGGGTGTACACTCGGAGCAGCAGTCCTTTGTGATGAAGCATGCGGATGAAGTAGTGTATGTAGTTTGGACGGTGGCTGCCGGGATACAGAGCCTTGGCCAGGGAGAAGAAGGGCTGCGGGTCGTTGGAGAAGTAGTCAATGTTGAAAATAGCTTCTGGGTAAGGGATGTTGTACTTCTCCAAGTTGGCGTAAAGACCAGTTCCTGGAGTTCTGGAAACGTGGAAATACAGGCACTTTGATTTGGACATTATGGTGATGGTTTCATTCAAATATCTTTATTGTACTTTCTATATCCACTTAACAGTAGAAAGACTAATATAATAGATAAAGGAAAGATGATGATGGGGCTGTAAAGAGAACAAATGTACCTGAAGTCTGGGATGCCGCTGGCTGTGCTGACTCCTGCTCCGGCCACCACCACCACGTTCTTGCAGCGGCCCAGTTTGACCAGCCGAGCCACAGAGGCTAGACCCCCCCGGGAGGAGGATTTGACAGCTGAAGCAGATGGACTGCTTCCAAAAAAGACACAAAAACATCTTGATCCCAAATAAGACAATCCCCTGAATAATACCTTTGAATGAAGGCAGTGTGGTCTCCCATTTGCTCCTCAAAAATGGTATGCTCCCCAGCCACAGTGGCCCTGACACCCAGCATGCATTGCCCCGATTACTTCTTTAGACGGCGTATTTTGTTGACACCACTGGTTTCACGGAGTTATAGTTAAACATACCGTATGTCTCACGACTATTAAATGTTTATTTTGTTCAAATCTAGCATCATTTTTAATATAGTACTAGGCCTCCACTGTTTTAGTTTTGTTACATGTATGTATAAATGTTTGCATATGTGGTTATTTGTGTATATATGTATTTGCAAGTTACTAATAATAATATTTTTGCCTCCGTTTGTCAATCACTGATATTAAAGGTCTCCTATTATACAGTTTTACATCAATATATTACAGGTCTCAGATATATACAAAACATGTCTCTGTAAAGTGTTTGGCTCCAAATACCAAACAGATCATTGTAGCATCCCATAATCCCCTCTGTTTCAGCCCTGTTTGAAAAGTGCTGATTCTGTGTCTGTTACTTTAGATGAAAATAAGGAGCCACTCCCCACGCCCCTCTGAGAGAGATTTGGTTGAAAAGAACACAATGGTGCTCTAGGGGGAGATTCAGGTGATAAGGTGGGGGGGGGGGGGGGGGTACCTTGATTGGTTATTGGCTAATGGTTATACAAGACAAAAAACCATTATGACATCATAAGGTGGCCAATATCTGATCAGCTCATTTTCAGACAGGTTTTTATATAAATGGATCAGGAAAAAAAGTGAGCAAATCTTTTTAACTGAAACTTTCAGAATCTCTTTCCACAGAGGGGACACATGTTGGTAGAAGAGACATGGAGAAGTGGATTTTGAATAATAGGCGAACTCTAAAGTCACAGTTGGACCTCCTGCTCTTATTCATGCTCTCTGATTTCCTGTTTCTTATCTAGACTCTATAAAAACGTAAACCTTTTTAGGGTCCACACCTGTTGTTGAGAGTGTCCTGTCCGCTCATACTCATCTGACTGAGGTCCTGGGCCAGAGCAGAGTCAGTCTGCTTCCGTCGTTGTTTTCCGTATGGACCCGGCACGGAGTCCAGCCTCTCTGCGGGCTCGGTGAGTCGGCCCCCGGCGCTGCGGGTCACCCTGGGGACCGGAGGCTGGCTGGACCTGTTCATCCCAAAACCTGTTGACAGCAAGCCAAAAAATAAACATTCAGCCTACATTTAAAAATCTGTCATTGTTCATGAGATGTAAATCACAGCACAGTGTGGGATCTATCCAAAGGACATTTTATGTCAAACAGAAAAAAATAATGATTTGTTTTTGGTTGTACCAAATGGAAAATATTGTGTTCAACCCGTATTGTTCTAACTGCACTAATTCGATATTGATTTGTTTGTCAGTGATTAGCTCTTCATTTGCTCCCCCTCTTTCTTCTGTGTCCCATATTTAAAAAGCTGTTACACTGAAAGCACCCTTTTCCCCTCACCCTCTCTCTGCTGAAATGTTTTAAAACTGTCAACTGTTGAACAAAAGGTAATGGCTGCAATATATTTAGCAGCCCCCCCCCCCCCCTCAGCTATGCTAATACAGTCCACAGCTGTGGCAGCTTTACGGTTCAGGGAAAACGGAGGGGAGAGCAGAGGGGAGGGGGGGTGAGTTAAAAAGAGGGGTAACAGAGGTGAAAGGGAACCGCAGATTGACTGTGTGTCAACAAACCCAGCTGGGAGAGAAAAGAGGATGCCCCCTAACGGCCCCCTGAAAGTGAGGAAAAAAGGGAGAGGGGGGCTAGAGATAAATGATATAGAGGCGGGATTCAATAAAGGGGGAACAGAGGAGTAGAAGAAGAAGAGGAGGAGGGAGGTTTCCTTTCCAAAGCTATTCTAGGCCTTCAAACAACTTCCATGAGGAATGAGTGTGAGTGATCAGGCAAAGGCAGCGGACAAGGAAACAAAAGAGCTACATCCCATAAAACACGACTGCTTCAGAGGGCGGCAGGGAGATAAGACCAGCTTTTCTCCAGGAGCACCTTATCCCCTCTGGACGGGACAGCAGAGGTCACTGAAGGCTTACTGAGCAACAGCAAAAAAGAAAACACAATACCAGCCTTTCAGATGAAAATGTAAATGTGATGTAAACGTGCTTTTAGCTTGAAAACATGTACACTTTGGCCTCTAACCACTTTAGATAACCCGGGATAAAGTAGTATCCAAACTTTCTTTTAAGGAGCTCAATCTTCTTTCACTTTGCCTCCTTACAAAAGATTGAAGCCCCCACATTACTACCATTTCTTTCCCTCCCTGCACCTCCTAAAGAACTATTAAAAACAGCGGGAGGGTGAGGGTCTCGGCTTTTGTCCGACACCTCTAAATAAAGTCACTGCTGAGTACATGCAATAAATCACCAGCCCAGTTATTAAGGTCTCACACTGATGGTGTGCAGAGGCAGAGCCAGAGAGTCAACACACCCTCTGATCATATCTGCAAAAGTCACACTCACATAAAAAGTCATGCAAAAAAAGGCCAGAATGACCTAGAACAACAAATAGAGCACACAGGTGTTTTTTCTCCTGGGATGATATTGAAACCTGTAGAGTGGCAGCAGGTTGCAACCAGTCAGAACAGAGCAGCAAAGGGCCATGTTTACAAAATGGAGGACACTTCAGCAACAACTTGAAATAACAAAACTGAAGAAGTTTTTGTTGGTTTTAAAAACGACATGAAGTCCTGTGCGCATATTTATTTTTATGAGATCAAATGCTTTTTTGTGTTTTTTAAACACTTGTGATAAAGGCCTAACTGTGCCACAAATACCATTATTATTCTTTAATGGCAAATAAATCCCTGTGTAAATGACAAAAGGCTTTAAAAGGATTTGACAGCCCCCACCCCCCCCCTTTTTACTCGGCCTTTCACTCTGGTTGTTCTCGCAGCTCTCTCCCAGTCGATAAGCTGCAGTGTGTCCCAGCACCGGACCACCAGGAGTGTAGCTGCTCACATGAGGGTTACAGTGATCTAATTAGGACCGTCCTAACCCCCCCCCTCCAAGTCAGGCTAATGGATAATCCTTTTATAACTTTTAATGCTTGGACTTAAAGCCAAAAGAAACAAGGAAAGTGAAAAAGTGTCAAACAACAAACTCCTCAACTGCAGCAACAACTGAGGTACAACAAAACCTGAAACAAAAAAATAGAAAGAAAGAAATTCAATTATATTTCTTAAACCTTAAGATTGATTTGCAATTTAAATAACACATTTCTTTTAAATTAAGGCTGCATCCAACAATTATTTTCCTTAGAAATGAAACTGTCAGAGCACCTAGGGAACAAGGTTGTAACAGAACATGTGTTGTATATCTCTCACCCCCTCATTAGTCTGCCCCTACACTGTCTTCTGTCCAATAAAGGCAATAATAACAAAGAAAATATAAAAACACAAACTGTCAAATATTTGTTTTCAACAGGCCACCGAGAGGCATTCAGCTAAAGTGAAAATAAAATGGAGGAAAAGCAACAAATCCCATTTGAAAAGCTAGAATCATTGTTGTCAATGTGTTGATTGACTAATACAAAATTGTGTTTGTGTTAAACTATTACATATATTACAAACAACCATAATCATAATTTCAGCAATATATAAAAAATAAAATATAATTTCTCTAAATTCTTTTTTTTTACAGTGATCAAGTTAATCCAGTTGCAATTCAGTTCACATTCTTCATTAGGTTTATTTGCTTTTCAAAAATAGATGTAGTAATACAAAATATCGCAATACAATATATTAAAATAATATTATAGAAAATAATATAATAAACTAAAAGCAGTATTTTAGAGATTAGATGTATATCAGTGTTTTAAACCTATGATTTATTTTCACTGAAATAAAGATGTTACATCCCTATCCGACGCTCATTCACTGTCAGCAGCAGTGGGCTGAACCTGTGGACAGTCTCTCATTTCCTAAACAGTCGATTGTTAGAAACCTCTACCTGATGGTTCTGTCACAGTAACAGGTCAGCTGTGTCTTAAAGGAGATTTGGTTAAGTGTAATGAGGGGCTTTTCCCCCAGATTTTAACCCTCTGCCCTCAGCAGAGTTGAGGACAGCACACTTTGATCCCGGCTGCCGGCCGCCATGACACAGGGATGGCAGTAGGCAGAAGGGTCGCCATGGGAACCTCTTCATTACTTAGCTGGAGAGGCAAAAGCTCAATGTCGTCCTTCCCACCTGCTCACTAACGACATATCACTCTGTGTAGCATCTTTGTTGCTCTCTCAATCCACACAAAGCAGCCAGTCCTAATGTGTGTTGGTATAGTGTTTGCTCACACAAGGGAAGGCTGGGCGGAGGAGACTGATTCTGATCAGAGGGCCCATGGTTCACCAATGAGTCTTACTGTTACTTCTCCTCACCAGCGCTAAATGAAACGCCAACAAAGGGATGTGATGTTATTTGTGTGGATTCATTGAAAGAAATGGGTCTAAAAATAAACACAGGTCAGCTGTCAACAAAAATGTTTAGACTCCACTCATAATACATAGAAACATGTACAAAGCAAGGCTGCAACAAACCACTTTTTTCATTATCAATGTTCTGCCAAATCATTATTTTGATAAATCAGGTTTTCTTTGTCAATTGGTTTATTGATTAATCGACTATGTAAAGAGCCATCCTCGGTTACAGAATGGCTCTCTAGAAAACACAATCATTTTAACATTTTCTATTAGATTAAAAAGGGTAAGCCCGTTAGAATAGCATGTTAACAATTCCTGATTTTTAGGGGGAAAAAGGAGAACCACTATTGGATGTACATCACGGCAACAATTCAGGCACTCAAAATAAATTGACTGTGGTCTGGATTTACAGAGGAGCAGCTAACAGTGAGGCTACACTGGCACCTGCTGGAACAAAACCTCATTACACAAATAAACTTCCCTCTCCTTTGAAAAACAATCAATACCACAGACTGACTGATGCTATGTCAATACACATATTACATGACAGCACTAATAGGATTGTGTCACGTTGTTTAATTGTATTGCTTTTTATGATTTTGACTTTTGCACTCATTGTATAATTTGTATTATTGTATGATGCCTAACGACATCAAGCAAAGGGACTGCCAGTGAAAACTAACCTCTAAGCCAGGGGTGTCAAACTCAAATACACAGTGGGCCAAAATTAAAAGATCGGTACTAGTCGAGGGCCGGACTGGTTCAATGTTTATTGCAAAACGTATTGAAATGAACGTATTGCACATATTAAACCTGGAACTAACAAAGCTTAAATTATTGCCTATAAAAACAATATTAAACATTAAATAATCAGTTGCATTCATTTCTTATGGCTCTATCTGCAGCTTTTCGGATACATTTCTTATGATTAGATTTTTCCACAGGCCAACAACAGCTTCAAAAAAACTATTTCCCTCAAAGAAACATGCCCTGTTGTCGCAAGAAACAAAGTGCAGAAGGAAACATCCATAACTCTGTTTGCTGCTCTGTGATGCTAGTTCAAGCCAGATACTTCATCTCATCTTGGGTGCAAGTTCATCAATGTTTGGGGTCAGGCTCTGAGCTGAGGAAACCCTCAGGATTGAGTGAAGGTGTGCGTGCAATATACCGGCGGGCCAGATCTAATAGAAATTAGAAATTATCCTGCGGTCCGAAATTAAATACGTGGGCCTTGAGTTTGACATGTGTGCTCTAAGCCAACCCATAACTAGGTTAAGTTTATTTGTACATTTTCAAATATTATAAAAATGTTATCACAGAAAATAATTCTTCCCATTTTTGGACCATGTAAAGCCTGTCTACTCCCTGTATATCTATGTTTCCAGGTCCTGTGTTCTGTAGTTCATTATTCTGTTGGCACACATTAACCCTCCTGTCAAGTTTGACCCTTTTAAGTTTTCATAAACATCATCCAGCTTTTTTGGAACAAGGCTCCAAAACAGTAAAATAAGCACAACAAAACCAATGGTTGTCATTTTATTAGATTCTGAAGGCCTCAAAAAATTGTCACTGGTGTGTCGGGTCAATTCTGGCTTGGCCGTGACTTTGGGTGGTTATGAGGGCAAAACTTTAATTCTTGTTTAATAATAATCAAATATACCCACAATGTTTTATGGCTGCATGCCATACTATTAAAGACAAATATTGTCTGGAAGTCAGATTCTACCCTATTTTTGATAAGATTTGAAGTGCAGAAAAAAAACTTGGAGGCAGAAACGAACAGTATAAATCAGGAACTTAAGTCCTGCTTTGTTAGCAGAGTAAGCATAACTTCATTGCTGTTTAGCATCCAAATAAGTAGAGGAATAACGAAACATCAGAGACAGTGGCATTTCATTCAACGGACTCTCCCATTGGAGGCTTGTCTTTATTTATACCCATCATTGACCTTTAACCTGTTACGCTATTGGCTTCCGGTCATGCACAACAAATAACACAAATTGGTAACACATTTACCTCAATGTTAACCTGCTTTTATATCAGTTAGAAGACTGATGTGAGGTGTGAGAGTTCAGCCTAGTTTTCACCTAAGGAGGAATAAAGCAGTGACCTTTTCATAAGTTCACTCAAGACAAGGCCTTAAAATGTAATGATCCCCAAAACTGCAGTATGGATTTCAATATTTAAGGCTTGAATATTGAAATCCATACTGCAGTTTTGGGGATCAGGAGTTCCTTCAATAGCACATGTCATATTATGTAAATACCTTTATATATACAGTCTATGGTAAATACAGATCTGAGTTACATCTTTGTGTACACATTGTGTTCCATATAAATCTAGGTAATATAGGATATATATAACAGCTAGGAAAGAGCTCGTCATTGGGATACATAACAGCTTTTTAATCAGAAAAAAATGTGAGACAAACAGATTCAGACAATAAAAGTAAATCAAATACCAGGATGTTTTTTCTAATGCAGCTCCATTCTGCAGAAAATGATTGGCATTATTGTTGAAAGACGGAGGGTCGTCTACAACGACATATTCTGATAGTAAATATAATTACATGAACTTTATAACAGGGCTTTCATTAACATCACTGTCATTAACATCACTGTCATCATTCATCACCAACCTGTCTCTCAGACGGCGGAACGTTTGAATGCTGAACACACGGCGACCACGGACTGACGGACGACTTTGTTGGTCCACTGTCCACTGGTTTCACATCCGAAAGGAAACTCGATAATCTACTTTATCACTAAAAACTGAATATGTAATCCACCAGCCGCTGCATTGAGGTCATCATCTGCAGCAGACCAAACGGCAGAGAGCTGTCACTCCACTCTGATGCAGTTTCCGGGTACCTACAAAATCATTATGAATACAGGCGGGAAACACCAGCTGGAGTCATGTGGTATTAGTTTCCGGTGTTCAACTCCAGTGCTCAGCTGGCCTTTTTCAAAGCATGTTTGTATGATATGGCAGAATGATAGAAAAATATCCAAAAGACTGAATTATCTTAATGTAAAAGGAGATATCTGTTTTATTATAACAATATCACTCCAATGAATGCTAATGCTTTTTGATTAGATTATATTATTTAACACTTGAAAATTAAATGTTCTTGTGCTCAATTCTATTTAATCTTATAGTAGGCTATCAGCTTTTTGAGATTGGTGACTTTTGCGAGTGCAGGATTTACCCTGCCTCGACCCACTGCGGTCAAGCCACCAGCCTCCACTTCGGAAAACAAAGTCAAGCCAGCCCGCACGTTGTATTGCGGTGCGCGAATATCCTATGCATTACGGCAGAGGCCTGGAAAAACTGCCTTCAAAATCGGTCAATAACAAATACACCTAAAAAACATACCAAATATATTCATATATACTGGAGCTTAAATTAATAATAAAACAAAAACTCTACAGTATCACAGACTTATTTCACTTCAGGGTGATAGCAGGACACCCCATCTAGCCACTCAGATATTCTGTGAGTGACTACACACAGTGTTATTCTTATCTAAAAACAGAGGGATGATAGCTCATATATGACCTCATTCACACCAACGCAATTCCGGTTCAAGCTCAGTGCTAGAGCTTTTCAGGTTCAGAACCGGTTCTTCGGTTTAGCTCCGGCTCTTTTCACACTGCCCAGAGTCCGACTGGTGCTGCGTCATTGCGTCATCGTTTGCGTCATGACGTAACCGTTTGCGTGCCTGCTTCATAAAGCCAAACCGCGCGGAAACCCCTCACAGCTGACACCGACAACAACAACAATGGCCGATTGTGCTCCAGCTTCCTCTGTACCTCTTCGGAAGACCAGATTCCCAGTAGGTAGCTGGTCTCTTCAGTGGACCACTGCTGCTTGTTAAGTTTCTCCATCGTTGTGTACAAACTGGATAAAACGCCAGCTTTTTGTTGTTGTTCAGGAGTTGATCCCGACCCTGCCCCCGCCTCGACGTAAGCGTGACGTATGCGGTGCTTTTGCTCTAGCCCAGGGGTGGGGAAGCTTTTTACTCTCAAGGGCCATTTCAATTTTTTCAACATCCTCCGAGGGCCGTATAAATTATTGACCTCTGCTTAAAAATACTAAAATCACAGCCCATTCATTTCGCCTTTCTTTCATGCTGTGCAAAGAAAAAGCAACCTCTTAATTCAGATATTTTACCATGATTCGCGCATGCATTCACGTGCACGGTTGAGGCATTACCACCAAAACAGAAAGATATGGACACAAGATGTGTGCAAATGTATTTAGTTTCATGTGGACATGATTTAAGTGGTGGGGGACCTAACCTCCTCTAGGGGGGTCCGTCCGGGGCATGCTCCCCCGGGAAGATGTGTTTTTAAATGTTGAAGTTAAAAGCATCAATCTGGTGCACTTTGAGAGCAACATTAAAGGAATGGTATGCTCATGACACTCATTTAATTTTTGTTATCATCCGATAAAACAGACCAGTCTCTGCCAGATGACATTATCAGTGATTTTAAACTGATTAATTACCGAAATAACATCAACACTGTGGGCGGCGCCATTTTACCGGACGTGACGTGAACCATGCGTTTGGTTTCGAGGACACGTTGATGTTCATGTTATTTACTGTAGTTACTCTCTTCAAATATGCCTCATTGTATCGCGAAACATTGACACAATTCTGATAGGAACAATCCACGGAATGCTCGGTTCCATCTGTTGCCAAAAGGTAAGCGTAGGAAGTACGTTCGGAGGCAGTGGCTAGCGAAATGTGGCCGGCCCGAACCGAAAGATCCACAGGCGCATGTATGCAGCGAATATTTCAAGTTTCCGGACGACTACTCTGAGAGTATGATAAAACATAACATGGGATTTATTGAACAACCATTACTTAATGGAGATGCAGTACCATCGGTCTTTCTGGTGTCATCACCGACCAGGACACCAGTTCGGCCAGTTGAGAAATCGCCCTCTGCAAGTGTGAAGCGACGGAGGACCAGAAGTAGTGCTCGGAGTAAGAATAAGGTATGTTATGGCGCATTTCCATTGCAGCGGGTAGCCCCGTTTAAACGTCCTTTATCGTGCAGGCCAGGCCAGTTTTTGGTGGCCTTTCCATATAGCGTAGTACCGGCTAGTGGGTATTTCCCCCCAGTTTTTCCGGCCCCATAAAATCGTGGTTCTAGGGCCAGGGACAACGAGGCTGAGTATGCTAAACTAGAGAGGGAATCGCTAGCAAGGGTGGTACTACATGCATACATATCTAGTAATCAAAATCATTGTATCTACTAAGTAGGCTCGAACCTGTATGGCTGAATTCCCCCTTCCAATCTCTTCATATTGCTCAAAACTTCGCCATGTTTTCGTGTGTTTACCATAGACTGTATATGGTGTTTACAAAGTGAACGCATGGATGACGTCACGACCATCACGTGACTACTGAAAATGGGCAAAATGGCAGCGGCCTGACGGAATATACAGGTTTTGATAAAAAAGAGCTATAAAATCATTATTTACCGGGGAATATCGCTGATTTCTTCAGGGTATGGTTTAAACATAATGTTTCACTAAATACTGAAGTTTTGATTAATTATCTAATGAGTGGAGCATTCCTTTAATAGATCTATGGATACATCTCTCAACACCCATATGAAACAGAACTGGAAGCAGATTTTCTTTTTCTTTATGGATATTTTACAAATCACTCCCCTTTTAAACTTTATTCTTGTTTATTAATAACAACTTTTGTTTACTGTCATATAGTATTTTATACCTGTTTACTATATTCTCTTATTTTGTTATAACTATAATGGTCATTGTTACGTGCCAGGCAGGCTGTACTGGTGTGGTTTTCCTTCCCTCCTGTGTTTCTCTCTTCTCCCTGTCTTCTGCACAGCTAATCAGCAGCTGATCGGTATCTGCCTGTGCACCTGAGTCTGATGGCTGATTGGATCCTCTCACCCTCAGCTGGCCTATCAGCAGCCAGGGCCGACCATAAAGGAGGCACCCAGGAAGTCTTCTCGCTCTCTCACTCTGGGCCTGTTGCTGATGAAGGAGCCTGCAGTATTTAGCCACTAAATTTCTTTGTATTGTCTGACCTTATTGAAAGTGTGTTGAGAGGTGGAGGAGTTAGGTAAGTCTGGGGTACCCTGTACATTTCTCACCACGTAGCTAACTAATGTTTAGACACACTAGGTTAGCGGATTGTTGCCACCCCTGTATATTGTTTTGTTAAAGTCTTTGTAGTTTAGTTAGTGAGGGTTTTTGTTTGAGTTTTGGTTTCAAAGGATAGATGTAGAGATAGGCCTGGTTTTGTTATGCTTGTTTCTTTTGTTTGGCGCAATCCTTTGACTCCTCCTCCTCCTCACCAACTAAGGTTTCAGTTACATGTCTGTTCGGTTCTGGGTTAAGAAAATAAACCTTTTGTAAACTGTTACGCTGACTCCCTCATTAATTATTGGTTGTATGTTATTGTCTCCAGGTCCCCTAGACCTTAGTGGGGACGTAACGAGTGGGGGCTCGACCGGGAAATCTATTTTCCTGAGCTAAAAACAACCAATAATTGAGAAGTCATTGTAGGTGTTGTGCATAGGCTGAAAAATGGGGTTTGACTTACAGGACTTTATTGAAAGTCCAAGTGTTGATACGTTGTATTCCTGTCGCAAAGATGACATGTTATGTATTGCAGCTCACTTTAACATTTCAGTAGACAAGTATAAAGTAAAAAAAGAGATAAGAGAGAAAATCCTGCACAAACTAGAGGAGTTAAAGATTCTTGAAATCCCAAGCATGTCAACTCAGCCTAGGGCTAAAGAGTCTATTGAAGATGATAGGGAAGGTGTATTAGCTACACCTAGAGTTGACAAGTTTAGTCCTGAAGCTCCTCCTGCAACGCTTCCTAGGTTAGAGGCTTTCTCTCCGGGTAGTTTAGGTGCAAGTAGTAATGCCAAACTAAAAGTTCGTCTTGCCCGTCTTCAGCTGGAGGTCCAGGAGAAGGAAATGGTGCGTAGAGCAGACTATGATTACAAACTGCAGATTCGCAAGTTAGAGATAGAAGCTGAGAAGGAAATCACGTTAAAGCGGCTTGAAGTTGATGCCCTGAGAATCTCTTCAGAGCAGACATTTGAGAGGTCAATACCTTCTCATACAAAAAGTTTTGATGTTAGTAAAAATATTGCTTTAGTGCCAACTTTTAGAGAGTCAGAGGTTGACTCATATTTTTGTGCTTTTGAGAGAATTGCTACCGCACTAGTCTGGCCTAAAGACATGTGGCCAATCCTACTTCAGTGCAAATTAGTAGGTAAGGCTCAGGAAGTGGTATCTTCACTTTCTTTGGAAGAAAGCTTGCAGTACGAAGTGCTTAAGGAGTCGATCTTGCGTGCTTATGAGCTTGTGCCGGAGGCCTACAGACAAAAGTTCAGACACCATAAAAAGTCTGCTACGCAGACATTTGTTGAGTTTGCGCGAGAGAAGGGCATTCTCTTTGATAAATGGTGTGCGGCTAATGAAGTGAAGGATCATTTTGAGAGTCTTCGTCAGTTACTTCTCTTGGAAGATTTTAAGAATTCTTTGCCTGAAAGAATGGTGATATTCTTAAATGAACAAAAGGTCACTTCACTGGCTAAAGCAGCTGTTTTAGCAGATGAATTTATGCTCACTCACAAGACTGTGTTTTCTTCACCCTTGCGCCCAGATAGAGCTTCAATATCACAAACCGGAAGACCTGATCTTGGCCCAACAACTTTTGAAAGGTCAAGAGGACCACCATCACCTCCACGGGGGCCCCGTGAGTGTAGCTACTGCCATAAAACAGGACACCTTATTTCAGGGTGTCATTTCTTAAAGCGTAAGCAACAAGTTTCACAACGCTTTCAGACGCCAAAAGGAATGGGACTCATTAAAAGAGTTTCCCTATCAGACATAGAAATGTCCCAGGAAGATGATGTACCTGATCCCTGTTTCAAACCCTTTATTTCCAAGGGCTTTGTTTCTTTAACAGGGGATCCTAAAGACCAGCTGCCAGTACAGGTACTTAGGGACACAGGAGGTTCTCAGTCCATAATTAGAGAAGGCATCTTACCTTTAACCTCCAAATCATCATGTGGATCAAGTGCTGTTGTTCAAGGGGTAGGCATGACACTAAGTGCGGCTCCTTTGCACAATGTTTATATTCACTCATCTTTTGTCAAAGGATTCTTTAAAGTTGCTGTCCTCCCTGCCTTACCCATCAAAGGTGTTGATTTCATCCTCAGTAATGACTTGGCTGGGGGCAAAGTTAAGCCAGTACCTGAGGTCATTGATTCTCTGGATCTAAGTTTAGACGCTGAGAAATCAGCTGAAGTATCTCCCGAAATCTTTCCTGCTTGTGTTGTTACAAGGGCCCAGTCAAAGAAATATGGAGAGGATTTGTCTGATTCTTTTCTTGCTACAGGGCAGTTTCTTGAGGACGTGACTGAGTCGGACCGACTGCAGGAGGAGGCCCGGTCTGCTGGTGCTGGATCACCCAGTAACAGCTCAGAGCTTGTACAACTGCCTGCCACTCGGGAAGAATTCATGGCAGCCCAATTAAGTGATGAAACACTTTCTAAATGTCTCTCTTCTGTTATCAGTCAGGAAGAGGCCAAGTCAAAGAAGATGGCATACATTATGGAAGATGACCT